GGAAAAAAAAAAAAAAAAAAAAAAAAAAAAAAAAAACACATCATAGTAAAATTAATACCTTCTCCGCTTCGCATCGAAGCTAAAAATATGAGAACAAAATTGTTTTAAAATTTTTTCTTTCATATCATTTAACGTTTTTTGATATCATTTATTTTTCGTTTTCCATGTTATTATAAAATGTTTAAACCTTGGTACTTATTTGAAATTTTCAAGCAAAATTTTGATTTAGGGTTATTAGAATGTCTAATTCTGGTGGAAGACAATTATTTTAAGATTTAAATAAAAAACTAATTCCAATACAGTTGATCAAGCGTAGTATAAGCTAGTATAAATTGAAATCTAAAAATATTTAAAATCGCTATTATAGTAAGCGATTATAATAAAGCCATTATAATAAAAATCGAATGCGAATAATAATATAATAATATAGTTATTCAAACTATATTATCATCTTTAGCTGTTTATTATTCTAAGTTAAATTGAAATTATTTTGTAATATGTGTTAAACTAGAAAAAATTTTTCCTTATTAAAAGAGAAGAATCGTAAAAACAATTGAATACTATTTATATTTTAAATAATAAAGAATATATTGTTTAAAATTTTTTTCTAAATTCCTGTAAAAATTATAATAAAAAAAATTGTTTGTAAGAAATTTGTATTTCTTTTAAACATGGGTCTTCGTTTACAAATATGGCTAATTTTGAAAATGTATAAATAAGAATTAAATAAGCTTAATTAAATTTAGTTTTAAAAGATACGAAATTTCGTAGAACATAAAGAAAAATTAAAAAGAAAAAATATTACATTTTAATGCCGATATTTTTAAACACATATATAATATAAGGTGGTCAAAATTTTGGAAAAACTTTATTTAAAAAACATATATATTTAATATATTCTCAATTGAATATTCATACTAATCCATCTATTTTAAAAGAAAGTTATAGTCATTTAGATGTGAAAGTTAAATAATACGAATTTCGATCCTTATTCGAACATTTATTGTCATTTTTAGTTAATTTTCATTGATTCAACAATTTAAGAGTATTTTTTTTTTTTTATTGTATATTACTAGTTTAGTAGAGATTAATTTTATGGTGACAAACTCAAAAATACAATAGCGAAATTGAAGTTATTTATTTTTCAAGTGTGATAGTTTTGAATACAGACATAATGTGTAACCCTGTACATAAGTATATAATTAAGCATTTGCCAATCCGGTGCCAGTCGCAATGAAACTGAGGTAGAAATACAGCTTTAGAAAATGTAAACAAAACATGCGACATACCTAAATTGTTGACGATGCACTGAAATAATTGTCCCTTGTAGATATAGATTACATCTGAATTACAATTAAAATAAAAAACTAAGTACATGGGGTAAGGCTTTAAGAAATTATTTTTCAAAAAAACGAAACATATTAATATGAAGTTATATACCATTCGTGTTATGCATAAAATTAATACTTAAACTGAAACATGTTAAAAAGTAAGTATACCTCACTCCTTCAAATTAGATTTAAATATCAAAAGGATAACGTTAAATTAAAACACAAAAAGTAATAATACACGTGAACATTAAATTTTTATATTAAAACAAAAACTTCAATCGGCTGCAATGATATATCATCGTTTATTGAAAAATCGAGGCATCATCTATAATTCTAATTGCTATGGAAACGAAAGTATATAAAATACGACTCAATTATTTATCAACGTAAAATCAAACTCTAAAACAAGAATACGTCAGATAGTACTTTTACAAAATCTAATAATTATAAAAAGTCAGGTACAGTGGGAATACAGTAAATACAGTAATTAAATTAAAAATAATTTAGAATGATGTAAACATTCCGTTACTATGGAAAATATTACAAAATTGATTAATTTTACCAAAAATTGTATGAAGTCCTCCGAAGTTACTGACACATCTGACAGTGTTTCAATTGAAATGATACCAATTAATTAAATTAAAATTCGTCTGTATTTAATTTAAGTATTTTAATAATATTATGCATCGTACTTCATTTTTCTTCTTCAATTTTCGAATACTTTAAAGCTTCATCACGTTTTTTTAATTTTGAAGCTTTTCGCTTTCCAACTTGAAACAAATTTGTATCAACATTCGTAATGTGGCCCTTTTGCCCTTTTCTAAAAGTAAAAAATCTCGATCTTCCTGGATTTCTATAAAATTATTAAACATCATATTTATTTCAACTCTAACAAAATTTTAATTTGCAGTTGTAAAATAATTAATTATTATGTTTAATGCATTGGCATGAGCAATGTCAAATAAATCGTCTGACTTTGATATAAATAATTCTTCCTTCATAATTTGTGATTCAGTTCTTTTATTTGAATTTTTTTGTATTTGTCTCCATTCATTGTACAATTTTTCTAGTTTAGCTATATAGTACTGAATTTTTTGTATGGGTATTCTCGCTTTATCCCAAAATATTATAATTACTCGTATTGCAAGACGAGCACTTTCACGAATATTTAATTTGACTACACGTAAGTTGTAAAAGAAAAAACTAATAAAGCCTACTTAATAGAAGACAGTTTGCTACCAGTAATTTGGTTATATTCATTACCCAATAAATAAACATTATTTCTAGTTCTAGAACTCGCCATCATAAAAATTTACGAAAATATTATTAGAGACGAAACAAATGAAAGAAGACACTACTAACAAAGAGTGATAACTGTTAGCTATTCACAAACTGTTCCATTATTTTGTAAACTTTCAGTTATTTCTAAAAATAACTATTGGAGATACGGAAAGAAAAAAAAAGATATGTCATTGGTATCAGTAAATAATGAAATATACTGTGTCAACAAATTGAAAAGTTTATAAAATTAAATCAATACACGAAAATTCTAACTCTCTTTTTAATTAATTAATTAATATACAATAAAAATATGTATTAATAATAATGAAATTTAGTAAGTATGATTTTAAGGTTAAAAAAAAAGTTATTATTAATATGATCAACTATTTATTTACTTAATGTGAATAAATTTTTTTTCAACTGTGTATTTTTAATTTTTCGGGTGACGGGGAGGGGGTTCTAACCCTACAACACGGTTCTTGTACTGAAATTATTAATAATTAAATAATAAACGATTTTTGTGTAGTAGATTTATTTGTATCTCTAAATGTTTGTCAAATATAATGTAGTATTCGTAAATATCCCAATATCGGCAAATCGATAAAATTAGTATAATTTAAAATTTTACTCGAAAACCAATGAGTTTAAAAAAAAATGTGTCAGGACTAAACTTATAGTCCATAACATTTTCATAACAATATATTCTATAATTTTTTTTTTATGATCGCTTATTTCCGAATTAAGTACAAAACATTAGAAAACTACCCCTATTGTCCAATTTTCAACCCCGAGTAGTCACGGGTTAAACTTGTCTGATTGACGTGAAATTTTTTTTGGTTTGTTTTTACATGTATATAAACAAATTTGGGTGGTGAGACTGAGTAATTTCTATACGAAATTTTTCATAATCTATAACTAAGGACCACTCTAGTGAAAATACAAACATATATTGTATACATATATTTTCACTTTTATAAGCCCATTAAGAGCCATCGCGTCTTCCCCCAAAGAAGGAGATTTCTTAACCATTTATACTCCGGAACGGGTGTTAAGTCCGTCGCCAGAGAGAGTGAACCCAAGGAAGTGCGCGTTAAATACTGCCGCGTTACCGATTCGGGAACACCTGTAATTTATTATAATACCTTTAATTTAATACGGGTTTTAAGAAGGCTAGGTCGTTTTAAAACGTTATAAAAAAATTAATTATACACAAATTTGAAATTATCATATTCCCGTTTCAGTACTCCGGTTTATGATTGGACTTTAAAAAAAATTATATCTAAGGCTAGGCAAATATTTGAAGTATAATCAACATAAAATGCACCTATTTTGTAAGATATTTCTATACAATGCAAAAACAATAATTTTTAATTGAAACAATCACTGTAGATGATTAAACTTTTGAAAACTTTATAATTATGAATTTTAAATATTTAATGTGTATATCGATGTTTATAAACAAGAGGACTGCAACGTCTTAGTAGTATAATGTAACAATTAAGTAATAAATTACTTAAGTGATCAATTTTTATTATATAAGTAATAAAGATTGATCACTTGTGGCTAGAATTATCATTAAAATAAAAATTGTATTAAAAATATTTAACTCAAAAAGCCACAAAAAATTACTAAAAAATCGTGAATACGTATTTCGGCAACAATGTTACCATTACCAGAATGCTACTTGCATATAAACCAATAATAACAAAAATGTAAAATAATATCGATAATGATATATTATTATAAAAAATATTTTGTTTTTGATAACTTTAATAATACATTATTAAAATAATTTAATAAATGTGTATATTTGTATTTTTAACTTGTACCGCATAAAACTTTTAAAGGCCCTAACGGAATATTTGGGATTGAATCAATACAGTTTTTTGCAGCATCGGCTAATAAAGTATTCTTTTTTGAGTACTCCTAAAAATAACAATAAACAAAATCAATACAACGCCTTTAAATTATCATTTTATAATTTATTATTTTTACTTTGATAACTTTGAGAATAGGATCATTTGGACGGTTTAACTCATGGTTTATTTTCATAACTTCTCTGGCATATTCATTGAATTCTTGATCATTTTGACGCCATAATTTAAGTAGTTTATCATAATACTTTTGATCCTCCGCTTTATTAGCTATATTTGCTGCCCTGTTATTGGCCTGTTTAAAAAGTAACTTAATTATTTGTTAATATTTACACAAAGATAAAAGAGAAGTTAATTTATTTTTGACCACTAAGTGTTTCCTAAAATAATTTCGAACAAAATAACAATTAGATTTGTTTATTTAACATTTTTTGGGCCACCAATGAGTACTGTTATTTACATGATATAGCATCGCAAAATTTCGATCATCCGTTCTGTACATTACTCCGTATTTGTGTAATTCGGAATAAATGTACGCGTCCATTGAATAGTGATTTAATATGCTAGCAATTTTTTTATCTAAAAACCAATAACCTGGGATGTCTTTTATTTCTAACAACACAAATAAATCACCAAGTGTATTTTTGTTTTGTTTGGATGACCTAATTGCATTACAAATGTCATGCAAATGTTATCTTCCACAACATTTTCGTCCATTTGATGTTTTTGAAGACTTCCTGTAGTTTTGCTAAAAAGGTTTTGTTAGCATTTT